ATATATTTATTCATTAAATTCAAAATAAAGTCCACAAAATCTTATTTAAAAAAATAAATAAAAAAAAGCCCTTATCAACTTCAATCCTCCCTCGCCTGCAACACATCAAACTTCCACTTCCGGAATCTCTACTTGAAAAGCCCATCAACATAAATCTGTTGCTTGTCATCGGTTTCATCAATATCCCAATGAACCTGCATTAATGTCAATAACAATAAATTAGTAATTTAAAAAAATATTACATTTTATCAAAAATAATTTTTCATTATTTACCATAAACTTACCGATAACTCTCCCAGCATGGACTTCTTCAGCTCCTCAGGGACCTTTTTCCAAGACTCAAACTTGGCAGAACAATCCCTCCGCTCCAAATTCCCAATGTCATAAATGAATTCGGCGTACACCTCAGCCAAATTTTTGCCTTCAAAGAACGGCACTTGCTTCCGTCGATACCTCTCTACTCGCACTACAACTTTTTTTTTCCCAGAACCTTCCCCAAAATCGACCATTCTTTTTGAAACAAAAAAATTTTGAAAACTTTGACTCTGAAACTGTGTTAATATAGCACTACGACAACTTTGCGCGACGAAATAGTCGTCGCGCAAAACTATAAGCCGTCACGCAAAATGCGTCATTAATGAGCAATAAATTGGAAGGTTTAAACGCATTCAGACAATGAACTGCGCGACGAAAACATGCGTTCGTCGCGCAAGGTGTATTTGTGCGACACAATATCATCGCTCAACATATTGCGTGACGAATAGAATAAAATAATTGTAATTACAAGGTTTACGTAAACATAGATATCTATGTTTACGTAAACTTTGTAATTACAAACAAATATTCACAAACGATTTAATACCTTAAATATTTATTCTTAAATTAATTAATACTGTAAATATTTATTCTATAAATAATTAATACCTAATATATTATTCTAAAAATAGTTAATACCTTAAATATTTATTCTACAAATAATTTATGTCTTCATCTATACAATTATTTTCAACATAAGTACGATATTCATTAAAGATTAAAAACACATATAAACCATAGCCAGGGTGCTTAATTAAGTCCAAATACATAAATTAGATAAAAAAAAACCTTAAATTTAAAATTGTCGTACAAAACATAAATTTTAAACTACTATTTGGATGATCCTGCTCCATTCCGCAAGACTTCATAATGCCACATATTGTAACCTTCTTCCAACGCATCCTCCAGCAACTTCATCAATTGTTCTTTCAGTTCATCATCAAAAACATACTTATGCTATTACAGATATATACATATAATTAATTCCAAAATATAACTAAAAATTTCGCAAACTAAATTATTGATCCAACAACAATATACTTACTAATAGTTCATCCATCACAAGCTTTTTCACATTTCCTGGCACATTTTTCCAAGAACGCCACTCAGCAGTGGGGCAATTATTCCTCATAGCTGTAGCAATTGCACGAGCAAACGCAAAATGTTCTCTCATATCATGCTCGTCGGCCTTGCGCACACTCTCGTTGTTGTTTTTATCCGCCATCTCAGCACGAAATTGTGAAGAAAAAGACAGTAGAAGCGCCTATAAATAGCAAAGTTAGGATCTTTGTGCGACGAACTCTTTGTCACGCAAACATCTGCATTAAATAGCCTCATATTTACCCGATTTACCTAATTCAGATGTATCGAAAGGTGAAAAGGTTGTGGAACTTGCGTGACGAATATGTGTCGCGCAAAGTAAAATTTTGTCGCGCAAGTGTTTCCCGCTAAATTAAATTACCCACGTTTTCTTGCTGACTCTAAGCGACGACAAATAATATTCGTCATGCAAGTTTAATTTATTAATTTTCTCTATTTTCTATTTTGCGACAAAGTTTTTTTTTTTGTCGCGACTTAGCGCGACGAAATTTTTGTCGCGCAAGGGTTTAATTTATCTATTTTCTCTATTTTCTATTTTGCGCGACAAAGTTTTTTTTGTTTTTTTTGTTGCGCAAGTGCGTCTTGTGCGATGAATTTTTGTTTGTCGCGCAACCTATTTTTTTTTACTAGTGTTTTAATCAATGGGAGTAAAGATTACATTTTGTATTGAAATTTTGAAGTCTTAGTGGCTGATACTTTAAGAGTAAATTTGGTTTAAATTTTGTTCATAAGTTTTAATAAGGGGTCCTGATTTTGTAAACAATATGTCGTATTTTACTTGTTCTCTTATTATATTCTAAATTGACAGAAAAGTTGGATTTTGTTACCAAACTTGTTGAGTTCTTTTGTGAACTATTTTTGTACCGAAATATATTTTCATATTTTCAGTTTGACTATTGTGAGCTAATGTTTTGACTATTAACTCTTGATATCATGACTTTGTTAGTAACATAGTGCTTTGAGTTAAGTGTGCATGTAATCATGGAGTGCAAGGAACTGTCCAATGTGTGCCTTGTTTTCCTTGGTTCTGCATTTAGTCTCAAAGTGACAAGTTACTTGAAAGGTATGATTGCATACTTTAGTGGACTCAAGTCATCACCATATATATTTATCTCGTTGAGGTATTCTCATTGACATTCAAGTGGGAGAATGCAAAACCATTTTGTGAATGACAATGAATTATGCCGAGAATAATTGAGGGAATAGTTGACTTGGCAATCAAGTTAATGAAATCTCTAGGACTCTTCGTGCCTTAAAAAATAAACATATTGGAGTCCTAATTACATGCAATCAATTAAGGGCCTTTATTAAGTAAATACTAGGAATAAGAGTCATGATGGGACTATAATTGATGAGATATGATTTGGGTTGATATCCTTTCCGATAATAGGGAGGAATTGATTGAAACCCTAGCTATATAACCTAGGAGCAGTCCTTGCTTCTATACCGATAGAAACTCACGAAAACTATAAGCCTATTTCGATAGTAGAGTTCATTGAGAGGTACTGGAAGTAGAATACTACTTCTACTTTGTTTGCAAGGATCAATGGCTTCACCTTCATAACCATGTCTTCCGAATTCTACAGATAAGTTCAATATAATTAGTCGATCTCTATTTCATATTGATTTGATTTATTCGTGATCCTAATGTCTTGTTGCCGTGATTTCAGAATATGTCTTACAATGAAACCTTTCGTCGTTCAAAATTTGAAGACAAATTATCATTTTAACGAGTATTTTTCCAGTTCTTGCCTAACGAGCAAAAATATTCACCAAGCAAATGTAGGTTGCACAAAATTTGTTGTCATGGACATTTTGAGTGACGAACAACAGTTGTTGTTGTGCAAATATGTCTTGTGCAACGAAATTTATTTCATAGCCTACAAATCTATCATGCAAATAGTTTTTTCTATTAATAGTTGGTAATAACTCTGATAATTGTAAGAGTGTTTCCATTAAATAGGCGGTTTTTGTTCCAATTTCACACCCCAAAAAATTATCTATTAAGGGTAGAGAGATTGGGGAAAAGAAAAACTGTTGCTAATAAAGATAAACGTTACACGACAAATTTGATAAAATGTGGGACATGACCGAAGTGTAAAAAATTGAAAATGTGGGGTAAATTGGGTAATTAAAAAGTTAAGAGAGTAATTTCGCAAATTTGTGTAATTTACCAACTAATATTCGTAAGAATTGGGGAAATTTTTTCTCGTGTTGTCTTACAAGTTATAAAAGGTTATTTACGGCTGCAGATATGCTATCCCAATTTTGATGCCTCGTTTATGTCTCCCTTCTTATGTGATTGACGTGTCTGCTACTTAATCTAGTAACTAACACCCTTAACTTTCAATACATTAAAATAAAAATAATTAAACATTAAAGAAAAATAAAGAATGCCGGCAGCAAAAGTTCGATCCTTTTCTCCTTCTACTCTCGCTCCAATCATTGATTCAAGAACACAACGACGAGGTTGCTTTTCAGAAGCAGCGGTTGACGAAGGTGGAGGATTCCGTGAGGGAGAAGGAGAGAGAGTGTGATTTCATCGAGGGGCGCATTAGAGAGAGGAAGAGAAAATTGAATTGGGCAAAGGTGGAGGAGCGGGAGGGGGTGGTGGGATTTGGGGAATGATTAGGGAAATGGATTTGAAAGAGAGTGATTTGGGTTTGCTTAAGAAGGCAGTGAAAGAGTCGACCGTAGGTGAATTGGGCTACTATTGACGGCGCGTCATTGGAATCATCGTCCTTTGAATTCCCCACCGTCACCTTCTTCTTCGCCCTTGGCTGGGACTTCTGAAGCCAACTCGTAGTAGAATCCACAGCTGAAAATTTACAGCCATCCTCCTCCATGTAATTTAATCCAATCCTATCCAACTCAATTTTCAAGAAATATGAAAAACCACCCTAAAAAAAACAAAAATTGGAAATGAAGCTAAATTGCTGAAACAGAATTTGGGGTGATGTGGTTGGAGGGGTGGGTGTCGAGAGTTTTTGGGGGTTGGGTAAATCCCAAACTGAAAACAAATTTTTTATTTATTAATTTCGGGTGTTGGGAGTTTCTAGGGGTTGGTATCTTGACGACCTCAGGAAGACAAGTTTTTTTGGATGTGTTTTTCGTTTCTTTAATTTTTTATTAATTTTATAAAAAGTTAACAATGTTTTTGTGGAGTTAAATTGAAGGACATGTGTCAAAAAACTAAACAAGAGACAAAGGAGGCATAGAATTCGGGACAGCAGATTCTAAGCCGTTTACCCTTCTTACTTCATCTCGTCTTACAAAGGAGGCATGGAATTCGGGACAGCAGATTCTAAGCCGTTTACCCTTCTTACTTCATCTCGTCTTAAAAAAAAAAAAAAAAAAAAAAAAAAAGCTCACTTTTTGCGACAAGAAAATGAAACTCACTTTTATTAGGAAAGAGATTGACCAAAGTTCTAATTTAAGGTAGTCTCTTCCCTCCTTATTGTGAAGTAAACCCTAACTGTAGGGATCCCCTCTCAAAAAAATGCGACACCACAAATTTAAAGGGCCTATTTTTAAATCCTCTTTGGGACATATGTATTATAAATATGCACAATCTCATCTCCCATTTCAATCAAACATCTCTTAATTAAACATTCTCTAATACTACAACATCCAAGAGTACTTTTCACATTGAGAAACAAAAATGGCGTTCAACAAGAAGCTTTTATTCTCTGTTTGCTGCGCCACATTAGTGTTCACTCTTGTCTCCGCCCTTTCCCCTGAAGAGATCAAAGCCACCATGGATGAACACAACAAGCCCCGCGCTGAGGTCGGTAACGCTCCACTCAAGTGGAACGAGACCTTAGCCCAGTACGCTAAAGAATATGCTAACAAAAGAGTTGGCGACTGCGTGATGGAGCACTCAATGGGGCGTTGGGGTGAGAACTTGGCCTCAGGTGCCGGCATGACTGCCGCCGATGCCACCAAATATTGGGTTACCGAGAAGGAGTTCTATGACCACAAATCAAACAAATGTGTCAAAGAGGAATGTGGTCACTACCTTGCTGTGATTTGGGGCAAAACCACCGAGGTAGGATGTGGTGTTTCAAAGTGCAACAATGGAGTGAACTACGTCGTTTGCAGCTACGATCCCATGTATCAGCCGGAGGACGAACGTCCCTACTAGACACTATATATGCATGCGCATGTGACCTCGCACACACCTACACTTGTATTTTTTGTTCTTTCAGGAAACTAGAAAATAAATTGGGGATGAGAGACGGTTAAATTGTAACTGGTGTATAGAAATACATCCGGACTCTCAACATCCCTTATGTGACTAGCACATGATCATTGATTGTGAAAGGTAAAACACAATAATTAATAAAAAAATGAAAAAAATACAAAGTATTATTTTTTTGTAATTTAATACTATTCATTTTTCTTCATCTCTATACCTCTATCATCCTCGTTTGCTATTTTTGCATTGGTTTCTTTGTAGTTGAAAAAAGGAGATAAGAAACAAATGTAATATCAAACAATCAACGTTAAGAAAGACATGAGCTTAATTAAGTTGACCAAAGCAGTGTACTCTCTCTATACTCAAGTTCAAATCTCTATCTCCGTATTTAAATGAATTTAGTGTAAATTATTTCATCATTTGTAAAAAAAAGAGAAAAATGAATGCTAAGATTTCTAATCTTGTAAGATTTATACAATTACAAGTGGGATAATAACTAAACACGATAAGAAGTGAAAGTTGTATAGGAACTTTTATTTGAACTGAACATATTGTAAAGGTGTAGATCTCACCTAATTCTGGATTAAAAAATTTGGTTAAGATTGTGGTTGTGTAACGGGAGTAAGGAGTGCGGGGTTGATGCAACGTGGTTGGAAAAATTAATTATGATTTTTCAGGGCTAATTTCATGCTGTCAAATAGTATTCTAATATTGGGAATTAACACTTCTATACTAATATTAATACACATGCTATAGAGGCCATAAGTTCATAGTCGAGAAAAATATAAATAATATACACAATACTATATTATTTACTAGTATTTAGAAAGTAGTTAAAACACCTCAACCTTTTAGTGTCATTTTAAATTGATCTCAATTTTTTTAAACATTCCAAAGAAGTATTTAGTTTATTGAAAATATCATATCCGTTAAGTTCTAATTAAATTTATATTAAAAACGAGGAGCTTACTTTATCTCCAACATAAATATAAGGTCATGGAAGCCTAGCTTCCAATAAGTAATGGTCACCACCACTCACTTCAGGCTATCACACCCAAACCTAGTGCATAACCAGAATTATAAATCTAATTTAATCGTCTATAAAATAAAAAAATAAAAAAAAACTACTCTACTGGTGGTTCTTCTCCATCACAAGCTACATCATATTTACACGGCCAATAACACCTCTTAAATATATCATCCATTGAACTCATTAGGTTCGGCTCCGTTTCATCAATAATATACCACTCCTTTTATACAAACAAATTAATTCAAAATTAAACATTATAATATATTATATAACAAAAATAATTACTAAAATATTAACTCTCAGTTACTGCCAAGTCATCCAACATAAACTTCTTCCATTCGTCCGCACCTTCTTCTAACAAAAATAATTACTAATATTAACTCCCACTCACTATTTGGTTTGTCTGTCGTTCTTCACCTCTTACGCTTCTCCATTTGTTTGTTTGTTTAGTTTGGATCAGTAAGTTCGGTTGTCGTTGATATTGAAAAATGACTGTGTGCGAAGTTGGCTGTCGTGGAGAACAAAGCCAGAAGTTTTTGCGTCCCGCCTGAATTTGCTGCTATGTACCCACCACCATACCCGTATCTTAGATTTGAGTCTGTTGCTCATCTCGACGATCTCGCCGCCAGTTACTGTGTCTCGCACGCCTGCTGCCTTGTATTTGTGCACTGCGCAACTGTCTGTTGTTGAACCACCAAACCACATTGAATCTGATCCATCAACCCCTCACCGACCAAAAATCGTCATGGAGATCGTACTCGCGCAACCTGTTGTTTCCCAGATCTAGAAATACTAGAAATCATGATTCTTGTTCCCGGATTCCATCACTGTTGCTGCCTGAAATGAAATCTAGATCCCGACCCGCTAAAAACCATCTGTTGTTGCCGCAGTTCATCGTCTTGCTGATTGTCCTCGAACTCGCATCGAGTTGCTGCCGCAAAACTCATTTCGAGTGCCACGAATATTGTTGTTCATTGAAAAAAAAAAAGTAGAAAAAAGAACAACGATAAGAAGTTGGGCTTCTTGTAGGGCCCATATTGCTTGGTTTGGAGAAGGATTGTTGTCGTCTGCTATTGCGTGCCACAATGATTGCCCGAGTATTTGGATTGGTCACAACTCAGATGATGGTGTGTATATGATGATGAAGTGGACTGTTTGTTCGTCTATTGCTGCTATTGGGATATCGAAATTTCGTCCATTTAGTGAATGGGAGCATTCATATTTTCTTTCCACAAACCGTAGTTTCAGTATTGTCAGAATTTGTTGTTTGATTGTTGGTCGTTGGAATTGCTTGATTGCTCGTCCGGTCACTTGTTTGCTCACTTAGATTGCTTGTTTGCTTGTTTTCTCACTTTAATCGCTCGCTTGTTTTGTCATGTCCGTCTAATAGAGTTTGTCTTGTCGTGACTGCTTAACAGAACTCGTATTGTCTTGGAAAATATTAGTTGTGTAGTTCATTATTTATGGGTTTGTTGTGGGCCCAGGATTAGGATTTCTTGCCCTTAAAATTAGGGTTTGCTTTGGTTTTCTCTATATCATGTTCATTGTATTTGTTATTTTAACAAGTGAGTCAAAACACAATTCTCAGTTTCTAGCTGCCTTGACAATTTTCTTTATTTATTTTTCCGTTAATTAAATAATATTCGTTGTTTGATAGTTTGTTCATTGAGAGACTTTACATGCGGTCTTTAGTTATGAATATTCTTTGATTGAACCTTGTTGGTTTTTAATTTTTGATCGAGGTCCCTGAAATTAATGTAATAATTTATTTTTATGTACGTTACTATATTTTTTAAATTAAAAATTAGAAATTTTAGTTGTTTATATAAATGAGATTTTAAATAAAAAAACCATAATTTGTGGAATTAAAAATATTAAAATATAAATATACTATAGTGTGTGTGTGTGTATATATAAACATGAGTACATTCATCAAAATTAAATAAAAAAATTATTATATCAAAACATGGGTACATTCTTCAAAATCACAATATATAATATATATATTAGGCTTAATAACATTAGTAAATTTCTTCAATTAAACTTGACATGGATACATTTTAAAATCAAAGAAAAAAGAATGTACCCTTATAAGTTTAAAAATGGATTAGAAAAAAAATTGAATAGATTTTATATATAAAAAGAAGGGTAAAAGACTGTTTACTACCCTCATGTTTCGTGGTTTTCAACATTTAGTACATCAAGTTTTTTTCGTCCCAGTGTCATACCTAAAGTATAAATTTTGGGACAGTCTCATACATCCGTTAGTCAAATTGTTAAGTCTCCCGTTAACTGTGACATGGCGCCCATGTGGACAATAACTGGGCGCAACGTGTCACCCACGTGGAAATTACAAATAAATTATTTATACAATAAATAAATAAATAAATAAAAAATATATATATATTAAAAAAAAAAAAAACCTTCATCTTCCCCAGATTCGGAGGAAGAAGAAGAAGAAGAAGAAGAAGAAGGAGAAGGAAGAAGAAGGAAGAAGGAGAAGAAGGGGAAGGAAGAAGGAGAAGAAGAAGGAGAAGGAAGAAGGAGGAAGAAGGAAAAAAAAAAAAAAAACCTTCATCTTCCCTAGATTTGGAGGAAGAAGAAGAAGAAGAAGAATGAGGAAGGAAGAAGGGGAAGAAGAAGGAGAAGGAAGAAGGAAGAAGAAGGAGGAAGAAGAAAAAAAAAAAGCCGAATCTGCAACCCAGATTCGGAGGAAGAAGAAGAAGAAGAAAAAAAAAGGAACCCAGTTCGTCCCCCCTTCCCCCTGCAACCTAGAAGAAGAAGGAGGAGGAAGAAGAAGAAGAAGGAAAAACAAAAAAAAACAAAACGTGGATGACATGTGGCGCCCAGTCATTGTCCACATGGGCGCTACGTCACAATTAACGACAGATTTAACAGTTTGACTAACGGATGTATGAGACTGTCCCAAAATTTACACTTTAGGTATGACTCTGGGACGAAAAAAACTTGATGTACTAAATGTTGAAAACCACGCAACATGAGGGTAGTAAACAGTCTTTTATCCTAAAAGGAATGGTACATTTTACATATAACAAATTGGTATATTTAAGAATGAGTACATTTTAAGATTAAAAAGTTTTACATGAATGAGTACATTTTTCATCTATATGATACTATGGTTTCAACTTAATTGTGATAATAATGTTCTTTTATTGGTGCCATTGTACCAACTATGATATTCGCTTTTCGTAATATATGTGTGAATGATAGTTTTGAAAACCAATGCCTAATTCACCAACGAAGTTGCACTTTGCCGTTAATTATATTAATGAGAACCTATGAATCTCATTCCACTTGAACATGATCGAGACCCAACCTTGCAAAGCTAAAGAATATCCTATGGTTTTTTTTTCTTTAAAAGGGGGACAACTAGTGGCAAGCCACGGTTATTCACCCATTCCGGGAGCTGAGAAGACCCACAGAGGCATTTCAGCCTCCCCTGAATTTTGACTAAATAATTCCTAATGGGTATAATGTTTCCATTGCATTACGTATCCTTTGTTCAGAAAAGCGTTGTTTCTTTGGTTCCATGTTTTTCAACATGTGTAGGAAATATCTTTTCGAGCTATAAGGGTTGGGCATTATTGTAAACCATAGTGCAGAAATGAAGAACACAATTTGTAGAGACAACAAGAAAACTTAGAGAAGAAGATAAGACAGCTTAGAAAGAGAGCTAGAGAGATCTCTTAGAGAGAGAAACAAAAATCTTTGTATATTTTTTCTTAGTGATAGTAGTCCATACAATCCCGCATATATAGGGAGATCTTATTACAACCATATCTTCTAACAACATCCTTATCTAATCTTAACAAACTAACTAATTTCCTTTCTTGTAGATTGCCAAGTGTCACAATCCTAAGCATTCATTTATATACTCTAACATCCCCCCTCTACCTTATGTTTGGAGAAACCAAGCATGAGGTTGGAACAATGAGTGTGGAAAATAGGTGAACTGAGACCCTTTGTGAGAATACAGCAAACTGCTCCAAAGAAGACATAAATTGAACCAGTAGCTTCTTTGTTGCAACTCGTTCGCACACAAAGTGAACATCGATCTCAATGTGCTTTGTCTGTTGATGTTGAATTGGATTGAAAGAGAGAGCTAGAGCAGACAAGTTATCACAAAAC